CCTCTCTCCTTTCCCTCCGCCCGGGGAGGGGGAGCGCCGTTCGTGATTTTGTAAAACGTGAGCAGATTGTCCTCCGGGCGGTCTCCGGAATTTGGGACCCGGAGGAAAGATTAAGATCAAAGGTTTCACCGAAGACTCCTGCTCAAAGCGGGGGCCGGGAAAAGGGTGCAGAACAGAACTTCAAATGCTCCCGGGACTCCAGGCTTCCTGGGGCCATGAGGACGCAAGAGACCCTTGGAGCTGTTGCCTGGAGCTTATCTGTCAACTGTAAGCCAGAAATACCCTGTGAAGCCTTGTCTGCTGGAGACCAACCAGTAGCTTAGTTTAGCTCGTAACAAATGTCCTGGTGGGCTAGCAGAGACGAGTGGGCTGCAGTTTCCAAGATGAAGCTCTCAACTCCAACAATAGTCACGACAGTCTCAGATACCCCCCCAGGCAGTTCTACCCTGCCCTGGTAGGGTCGCTATGGCTGGATGGCAATCAGACACCCCCACTTCCCACACACACCGCCGCTGCCGCCTCCCTCGGAGTAATGAATGCCAGCCAGCCCTGAGCATGGTTAGTCTCTTTCAAGAAGTATGTCATAGGTTGGGATTCAGTTGACAGCAGCAAGTCGATTAGAGTTGATCTATTCTGCAGGACAGCATAGAACGGCGCTCCCACCCCGCGCCCCAGGATTACTGTGGCTGTCGATCTTTGTGGGTGCATACTGTCACATCTCCCTCCCCACCCCCCCAGCCACGTGAGTGGCTGGTGGGCCATAGACCTTTACTTTAGCAGAGAGGCACTTTAAACACTTGGGACAGGAACTGCAGGGTTCGGTGCGGTGCATTGATGTTAAAGAGGGAGGTGGTAACAGTGACACAACCAGGACACTAGAGAAACTGCTGAATTGACGGTGTCTTGGCGGGCATATTCTCAAGGAAACAGAAGAGAACACGTTGCCTTCTGGACCTCTCCATTTCACCAGCATCCCAGCTCCCTGGGGTACAAGCTAAGCTGCTAGAACCAGCCTTTTGGTGACACCCTATACCGTTCTGTATAGGGAGAAAATTGTGTGCAAAATCACAACTCAAAACCATCACCACCAAATAATTAACAAGTCCTAGTTTCTGGAAGGCTGGTATATTTTCCTGAAGAAATCACATAAACCCCCAAGAAAACTCAGCAGTCTTTTTGAATAATAAGAAAAATAAAGTGTGTCATACAAGGATATTTGGTAGAGGTCTCTTTTTGGATTATTATGGGAAAGATTTTGGTGAAGTTGGATAGATCCTAGTTTAGAGAATGCTTTTTAAAACCTGGGTGTACAGATTAATAATAGTGAGCAACACCACAAAACCCACCCACCCCACTGGAATGTCTCAATTGTGAGAGCGTGTTCTCTCCAAGGTTAAGTGCCATGAAAGCATTTTCGTAAGGCAATGCTTGGCTACGTCAGGTAGTTTAAAGCCTTGCTGCTGTGGAACAGAGCAATGCAGAAACGTGCCCCGATGCCAATGCGCAGCTTCAAGGCACGGGCTGTGAACATTGGCCAGAAACGGTCAAGAGCGGGGAAGCTCCCATGGCCCTCCCCGGTCACTGCTCTTTCCCAGGCAGGCTCCTGGTCTGGGTTTTTATGTTCCCCGCTTCCTGGTTTCCTCTTTCCTCAGGTTTGTCTTCACTTGCTCAGCATCACAGGGCGAACTGCTTCCTGGAACTGTCTTTTGTTAGGCTTTGGGCTGCTAATGGGCAGGAGGTCAGCAGTTTGAAATCAGCTGGTGTGTGGGAGAAAGATGAGCCAGGGTTCCTCCTCCCATGAAGAGTTGCGGTCTCAGAAACTCACAGGGGGCACTTCTACCTTCTCCTACAGGGAGGGTCACTATGAGTCACCGTTGACTTGATGACCTGGATGACAGAACTTCCAAATGCTCCCGGACTCCAAGCTTCCTGGGGCAGTGGGGATGCAACGATCCTTGGCGCTGTTGCCTGGAGCTTATCTTTCAACCGTAAGCCAGAGATACCCTCTGAAGCCTTGTCTTCAGTGAGTTTTTAAAAATCGTTTTATTGGGGGCTCATACAGCTCTTATCACAATCCATACATCCACCCATTGTGTCAAACACTTTTGTACATGTTGCCATCATTTTCAAAATATTCTTTCTACTTGAGCCCCTGCTATCAGCTCCTTGTCTTTCCCTCTCCCACCCTCCCTCTCATGAACACTTGATAAATTATAAATTATTGTTTTCATATATTACATCGTCCATTGTCTCCCTTGACCCACCTTTCTGTTGTTCATCCCCCTGGGGTGGGGGGTTTACATGTCAATCATTGTGATCGGTTCCCCTTTTCTCCCCCCTCCCAGTAAGTTTTTTGAGTAGCCTGTTCACACTCATGATAGCATAGAGTTTTCCATTATATGGATAGACCAGATTTTCAAAATTCCTTTAAATCTCTTTAGGTGGTTCCCCAGTTTGAGCTCTTATTTAGCTAGCCTGCTGTGCGCATTCTTTACCGGGTCCATGTGAACAGTGCACACATTCTGTGGATGGTGCTGTCTCAGAGAGAGGGCCGACCATCAACTGTACCAGAGCTGCTTGCTGAATTCTTCCAGAGTCCTGCCTAGTCTGCACAGGGGTTGCACAGCCTCGACACGTGAACACAGAAGGAAGCCTTTTAGCCACCCTGGCAACAGTCTCCTGCACAGAGGTTTCCTTGTGATTTGAACGTGCACGTCCCTGCCCCCTAGTGGCTTGGGCACTGGGTCTTTTGGCACATGTTTGCACGTCCTTATGGAGGCCTATGTTCTCTGGGCAGTGGAAGCCACTGGAGTTGGGGAAGGGGGGAAGGCCAGCAAGGGGCATGCTGACTTGTTGGGGTGCTGACATAGGCAGTGTTCACATGGTCTGGTGGCCACCTGATTAGGGACACACTACACCGCCAGGGAAAGGTTACTTTTTAAAAGGTGCAGGGATGATGCTGAGAAAGTCTCTTACTCTCAAACCCCGGTTCTCAAGCATCTGCCTTGGTTGAAGCCCGTGGGGGTGGGGGGTGAGGGGGGTGGGCGCATGATGAAGCAAGCAAGGTCAGAGAGACCAGCAGGTGGTCCGGGACCAGTCCTTGATTTCACTTTGGGAGCTGCTGAAAGGGGGGTGGTGGTGGTGGGGGAGGGAGGCGGTGCACAGCTCCAGGGCTGTGTGCTGCTCAGAAAGCCTCCAGGGCTGGAAGGCTAGATGGAGGCCTGGAGGCTAGGCCTAGTTCAACCCAGAGCGACCCTAGGAAAAGAGGCTTCTCTCTGGGACTCATTTCCTATCTAAACTTGGAGGATGGTCTGGCTGATTATCAACCTGCAGCCATTGAGCTGATCTGACCCACGGTGACCCCCTGTGGTACAGAACAGAACTGTGCTCCACAGGGGTTTTTCGGTGGCAGATCTCCCGGGTGCTTCCAACAGTGCCCCTTTAGGTCACCAGCCTATCACAAGTTGCTTTTGTCACCCAGGCTGACACCCACTGACTACTGGGGTCTCCCCCAAAGCACTTGCTGCCATCGAGTCAATTCTAGCTCAGTGACCCGACAGGTCAAGGTAGCACTGCTCTGTGGGTTTTTGAGACAGTAACTCTCGGCGGGAGTGCAAAGCCTCAGCCTGCTCCCACAGAGAAAGCAGCTAGTGGGTCTGAACCACTGAAGCAACCCAAAGTGTAGCCCACTGTGCCACCAGGAACCCGAGGGGCCTCCGAGGTCACCAAATCCTACGTCCCACTACAGGGCCCCCAGTATTGCGTGGAGACAACAAGACAGGAAATGGAAACGTTTCCTTTTAAGGCCGTAGCACCTACAACCAACAAGAAAGCCAGTTTTTTTTCCATTGATAAAATACTTTTATTTTAATATTACAGTAATAATTCAAGAGGCATTTTTTGTGGAAAAGTTAACAGTTAAAGCAAAACTTGTTAAACCCTCTGTCATCAAACATAAGCATATTCTTTGCAATCCCCTACAAGAGTCAGAACCATGTAGCGGAGATGATATAAATATATATATATTTAAGTCTACTATATTTTGTTATTGCTAAAAAAATACAATAATGATTTTTTTAAATCAGTTGTCAAGGTTTCTCAGAAGCAGTGATTAATTAACTTTTGAAAGCTCTACCAGATACTCTGCCATGAAGTCATGGATCCAGATATCCGTGTCTGGCAGCGATGTGTCTACCAAATAGACCACTACTTTCCGGTCCCAAGGGTTAGCGTTCTCAGTAACTGACTGCACCAGGGCCACCAGTGGTTTCTTCTCCACGTGATTGCGAAACACCATCGAAGCTTCCGTTGACCACTGGAGCTGCCTGACACCTGGGAGAGAGACAGGGTGCACAGTGAAGGGCCGGCCAAGCTCGTCTCTGGCCTGCGGTCCTCAGAAACTACCCTGACGTGGGATGGGCCCCTTCCAGAGACCTTCCCTTCCAGAAGCCACTTCCATTTGGGAGTTAGTGCTGTGTTTTAAAACGGAACACACAAGAGAATGGAAAGCAAAGCTCCACTATGGTCAGGATGTACGTAGACACATTATTTTGGGGGTGGTGGGAGGGAGGTGAGGGAGGAAATGGGCGAAAAATAAACTCTTAATAGGGAAATGGTTCCACACTAGCGATGTACCCCTGGACAACATGGTCATCACACAATCGAGCAGCGTGAGTGCATGTGCCACAGAAATTACCAGCGAGCTGAGCTGTGATCGCTTGGAAGGGCAGCTTCCGGAACATGTCCACCAGCGGCTGCACTTTTCTCATGTTGACTAATTCGTGCTTGCCGTAGTCCAGCTCGTAAACGGATACCAGGCCATTGGTCAGGATGCCTTTTAAGAGTACCCTATGCCACCTGGATGGGCGTTGGATTGAGATGGAACACAAAACACGTGATGTCAATCATCTGCTTTGAGGCTAAGCAACAGTTCATGATAAAAAGAAGCGCTAATGCAAAAGTGTGCTGATATCACAATATGAAACGATCCTGTCACGGGCGTTTTAGAATGAGATTCCTTTTTCCCTTGGCTGAGGTCACGGTGTCCCACTGTGCCACTGGTTCATTCCGTGGCCTCTGCTCGTGGGTCCCCTGGAGTTGGTGAAGAGCTGGACACACTCCCTGCCACGGAGCCCACGTGGGACAGGGTTCCCCAGGCTGTAGATCTTGAGGAGCAAACAGCTTCAGAGTCAAGGCGGGGGACTCTTCGCACTGGCCTGGGAGGCAGCAAGCAGCCTGTGTGGTGCAGACTGGAAGGTGGAGGGGGGGCGAGCAGCACCAGGTCGCGTGGTACAAGTGTGCAGAGGAAACCCACCGCGTCCAGGAAGGGCCTGTGGTTCCGAGTCTGGCAAGCACTCCATGTCCGTGTCCGGCAGGGCAGGAGAGCGTGCATGCCGGCCATGGGAGCTACAGCCGGCCTGGGCCGGCAGAGTGGGGACAGATCACAACAGGCCTTGTTTGCAAAGCTGGTCGTTTTAATGACGTGCAAAGACGTTCGAAAAGAGAAAAAAGGGAGTACTTAAGCTAACCTGCCACCTAGAATGAGGGCCATGAGAAGGGTCGGGTGTATGGGGGGCGGGGGGTGGGCAGGGAATGGGGTAGCAGGGAGGAGCCTGGCTTCAGATCCAGAGTGCAAGATGCCGGTAAGAAAAATTCACATGAAGAGAATGCTCCCCTGCAGGGACTACATCAGTGTGGCCGAGGAAAGAAAAGCCTTGACTTCAAGTGCCGGTAGGAAGGCCGTTGTGAAGACCTGGCCTCTTGATGCCACCGGGAAAGGAAAGGAGCGTGTCCACATAGGCAGGCTCTCCACTGCGGCCCAGCTACCTACCCCCACCCTAAGCACCCCAAGCGCCAAGCCACAGCAGGCTCCTAACTGCAACAATCGTTTGGTTGGGGCTGGCTGGCCTGTCCCGATTCTGCACCTAGCTCACACCAGTCCAGAATGGGGAAAGGAAAGCCAGTCTACAAAGAGGCCAACTTCAAACTGCGTGTGTGTGATTGGGGGCTTCTGGGACACTCCAGGGACCTTCAGACAAGCCACGGGTGCATCAAGGGAGACACCACAGAGACCCTCGAATGAGGCATATTAGGAGGCACATGAGCTTTGGGTGCTCGACAGTCCTGCCTGAATCAGGTCCTGGTTGTGTCCTGCAGGGCTCTGTCTTCACCTCTCTGTGCCTCAGTTACCCCAGGCATAATGTTTAATACTGGTCCTCCTGCAGAAATAATGTCTTAAAGTGGGTGGATAGCACATGATGATAGGCGCTAGACACTTGGCGAGTAGGAGCTATAATTATTATGAAAATGAAGGCAAGCTATGTATGTACGACCTTCAGAGCAGACTGAAGACACGTTTTCCTGTGTGATGGTCAGTGTGTTACCAGTTGCTAGTTTGTGTAAATGTCAAAGGAGATGAAATCTTGGGTTTCCACAGGTGGCACCACCTGGGAATTGGCGGTGCCTGGACTGTGTAGCACCGCGCTGGCACACGCATCAGTGAGGACCGAGCTCTGGAAAACTTACGGGCTGACTTCAGAGCCACTGTCACCTTTCAGAAGCCACACCTTACATAATGCCTTGAGTTTTGACTGACTCAGGATTTCGGGACAGGAGAACCGCCTGGAGAGTGTTAAAAACACAGGATCCTGGGCTCTACCCAGAGACCCAGCTGCAGAGGGGCCAGGCGAAGACTGGGAATCTGCATTTTTTCACTAGGTTTCCCAGGTGATTCGTATGCTAAGATGGAGTTGAAAATCACTGCAAGGAAAAATGTATCTGAAACTCCTTGGTCTTAACTTCTCAAACTTGAGAATAAGGTTTATATAAAGCATGGTGAATATTCTTGAGTCTTACACTAGATCGACATTTCGATTCAGTTTATGAACTCAATTGAACAATCAGTTTTAGTCCAGAAGACAGCTCTTTACCCCCTGGGCACAGGTGAACTAAGCCTGGAGGCTGGGGCAAGGCCTCTGCATCCCCTCTCTCCAGACCTCTGGTTTACCAGTTCTTCTCCAAAGAACCCCCCTGCCATGTAGGAGCCCCGGAGCTGCTGAATGAACCTCAGAAAGTTGCCCCTGATAAGGAAGAGTTAAGAGTTTGATTTTAATGGTGATTAAATTATCCTACAAAGAGCCCTGACTAATACAAAGCTAACACTTATTTAATTCAATTCCTGTATTGAATTAAACTGATTTTTGCCTAAGGTTGCAAATAACATGAAGTGGGGGAAAAAAACACAAAACACACACACACAACAAAAAAGCATTAATGAGATGCTTATAACATATAAGTTAAGCTTCTTAAAAATGAGAGATACTAGGTTTTCCCCTTTCCAGAGTTAAGTGTTAGGTATTTTCTTCCCATTAAAACGAAGGGAAAAAAGGTATAAAGACTAGTTTGCTAATTTAAGCAAAAGTTAAGACAATTTCTATACAAATAAGCAGCTCTACCCTTGAAAGAGATTTGGTGGGAGGGAGGAGGGAGAAAGAGAGGGAGGGGGGGAGGGAGAGACAGACAGACAGAGAGAGGCAGCAGAGGAGAGAGGGGGAGAGTTCTTAATGGTGGTCAGCATCAGCTAAGTAAGTTCATTTCCCCTAGGTCAGCTGGCAGTGGGCAGGGCAGGGGAAGCTAAACCTTCCCTGGCTGAATATGGAAAGGAGGGCTGAAAGCCTGGCTTCCCTGGGCGGGAAACTGCACACACTGAGGGGCTTTGGGAATGGGTTTGGGGATAGGGATGGGACACATCTCCATGCAAGTGCTTGGAGAAGCAGCCCACAACATGTATCAAGTACTGTATGACCTCAAACAAGAATTTTCTCTCCTAGGAATCTACTCTGTAAATAATCAGAGACAAATCAATATCTAGACTGAACACTACTTGCAGTACTGAAAAATGTGAAAGAAAAAAAACACCCTTAAATAACGAAAGAGAGTGATAAATGCATTGCAATTTCTCCATATGCCAGAATAGTGATGAAAATGTTTATGACAAAATACATTTTCATCAGAAAAATGCTCACAGTATGCTCTGTAAAAAAGGCAGGTATAAAATTATACAAGATGCTAATGGCCCAATTATATAACTATGGATAGAAAACAAAGGAAATGCGTTGAATTTAACAAAGGTTACTGTCGAGTGGAAGATTTTAATGTCCCTATTTTTGGGTGTTTTCTATTGTCTACAATAAACATCCTGTTTTAAAAATAAAAAGTAATTTAAAATTTTCAAGGTGGATGATTTTCAGACTTAAAAATAGTATTCTCTAATACTGTTCCCCAATAGAAGTTACAGAAAAAAACACTTAAGCCTTCTGGTAAAATTTGGTTTGGCAATACCGCGGTTATTAGATTTTTTGTTTGTTTGCTTCGGATAAATCGCACCATTTTAACATTAGAAAAGTGCCCAACTAGTTGGCCAGTTTCATGTCAAAATTCC